GCAGGGTGTTTGTCTTAAACTTTTCTGGGGCTTCTCTCTTATTTCTCTGCATCAGCCGCTGACATTCAAAGCCCATGGAGGTCATTCTGTGGACACCTGACTTTTGGCAGCATTTATTTTTCCTTCCTGGCAAAATATTGAACCATGAGATTCAGCTTCATTTGGGGGGAGAAAAATAATTCTTCTGTTTTCTTCATGAAGTCATTGTTCTTGATCCAACAGTCCCGGTGTTTCTGGTGGGAACTGAAGCTAACCCCGCCCACGCACGCACAGAAAAAGCATTTCCACCCTGAATCTTTTCCAGGGCCTAACGTTTCTCCACCTGCAGAGAAATTGCCTTTCTGTTTGGGCAGGCGCAGGGGGTGAGACGGACCCTGGCAGGATGTTCAGCCTTTTCAGTGAGGCCCTTACTTTGCCTAGTGGTGGGTGGGCCTTTTCTGGGGCCCCTGAGCCTCTGTCTTCGAGGAGCTCGTGCCTGGGAGTCACCCCTTTTCCCAGGGCCTCTGCCCGACGCTGCAGCCATCCTGGTTCTCCCGATAGCGTCTGTTCTTTCCCGATGAGGGGATGCTGGAGGTCTGGTTTGCTTTTGTGTGGGGACTAAAAAAAAATAGTAATCCATTTCACTTTTCATCTTAGAGACTTGGTGAATCGTCTCAGAGGAAAGAATGGATAACTTTTTTATTTTAAAGTAGGCCTGTCATGTTCACAGCTGAAATACTTGGTAAATAGATGCCTCTGACTATATGTTCTCTGTGCCACAGGATTAAATTGTTTTAATTGATATTAGAGAATATTTAGAAAATGCTCTTGTCCTAATCACTCTGATAAAGACAATTCTGTCAGTTTGATGTGCTGTATTTCCTTTGAGGTTTTTTCTGTTCTCAACATACATTTAATTCTGTGCGGACAAGTAAGTGTCCTTTTACACATTCGGGCGTTTTTTGCTGTCCCCCAACTGGGATGAGTGGCCATATCTTCCATTGCACTCCCAGGGCTGGTTTGTAGCTGGACTGTAAACAGTGCTCTTCTTACCACTCACCCCCATCGGTTTCTGTTTGTATTCTGAGGTTGGGGGCAGGTGAGAGCCTCAAGTCGTTCATTTAATATCCTGTGGTCGGCAGTTTTGCTGCATAATGGACAGTTTACTAAGAGTTGGGGTACCCGTCCTTGTTCTCAGAGGGGAGTTAAGGCAGTCGTTTTAAGGGGCTTGAGCTGAGTCCTCCTGTTGCCAAACCAGGGGAGGAGGTCCTGGGAGAAAGCTCACACCGGTTTAGGGCTTCCAGGACATTCAGCCGCAGTGGCCGAGTGGATACAAGTCCTGGATAGAGACTGGCTGAAAAGGAATTAGGAGGCATGTCCCCCCCAGGGACCTGACAGTTTGATGGGTTTAATGGAGGCAACTGGACCAAGCACAGAAAATGAGCTTCCTCTGCAAGCCCCGGCGCAGGTGGAGCAGGGAGGTAGGTGTCCAGGCCTCTGCCTGCCCCTCACTCAGTCCTTCTGCCTCGGATGGGGGCAGGTGCTCCTCTGACACCAGCAAGGTGCAGACACTCAGTAAACTGTGAACCCCGCTTGGGAGGAGTGTGGTGTGAGGGCGTTTGGGGAGGGGAGGAACATTTAGACTGGAGGTGGGAAGGCTCACATGGTGACAGGAGGGGACCAGGGAGCGCAGTGTGATCCTTGCAGCCAGGGCTTGTGCCTGGTTCTGAGACGCAGTGAGCAGTGCCAGCGGTGACAAGCGTTTGGTGTCGTGGGCTCTGGGAGGCCATTGGCCTGGACGCTGGTCCTGTTTGCTGTACTTTGAGTGGCCCAGAGGCCCCTCCGCCCAGCATGGTCACTCACCCTCGTGACCAGGCACCTCTGGATCCAACATTGCCCTCCCTTCCCCATCACCCCTCACTGCAGAGCTCGATCGCCCATGAAGCCTTAAATGGGGCACCCCCTTGTCAGCTGCGGCCACCACAGGGGCTTTCTGTTCCAAGTGCCAGGCGGGGGTCCCCTTTTCAGCAGCCTCCTCACGTCCCAGATAGACTGAGAGCTGGGCCTGTCGCCCTGGAGGCCTTGTCACCGCCACCGCGTTTGCTCGGCTGTCCTTAGGGAGGGCAGAGGGACTGTGGTGGGGGCCTTGGGGACCTGGTAGCCATCACCCACATGTGGCTGTCAGGGCCTGGAGACACAGTGGTGTGACTGAGGAAGTGAATTTTTCATTTTAATTAGTTTAGACTTAAAAACCTATGCCTAATTTAGTTGTAGGAAAACTTTTAGGTGTGTTTGGAACAACCTGGAAATGCAGTTCTACTTTCTCAACTCCACATTTCATGAAATGTGAATACAGATCAAGTAATTTTGATGCAAATTTATCATCTGAATTGAGATGTGCTATGAGTGTAACATACATACTGATTTCTAAGACTTAGTATGAAAAAATATAAAATATCTTAATAATTTTGGGTATCTGTTATGTGTTGAAATGATAAATTTATATTGGCTTAATTAAAGTGTATTAGAATATTTTCACCTGTTTCTTTTTACTTTTGTAAAGGAGACTACTGAAAAATTTGAAATTATTATATATCTCAATTATATTACCGGACGGTCCTGGCATCTCAGCCTGTTTTTACTGGAAATGTGATGGATGGTCCTTTAGGGGGACCAGTTAATGGCTTGAGAACAGCTTTGGCCATAGGATTAGGTTTTAGGAGACCCATGGTGTTTTGAAACGAATAACTTTTTAAAAAATTGTTCATAAAACCTTCTTTTTTTTTTAAAGAGACAAGGTCTCACTGTGTTGTCCAGCTGCAGTGCAGTGGCACAATCACAGCTCACTGCATCCTCAAACTCCTGGGCTCAAGCAGTCCTCCCACTTCAGCCTCCCAAGTGCTAATAAATAGGACCATGGGCACATGCCACCACACCCAGCTAATTTTTAAACATTTTTTGTAGAAACCGGGTCTCAATATGTTGCCCAGGCTGGTATCAAACTCCTGGCCTCAAGCAATGCCCCCACCTCAGCCTCCCCAAGTGCTGGGATTATAGGCATGAGCCACTGTGCCCAGCCAACATTATTTTTTAATTGCACCAATGACATGTCTCTTGTGGGAAAATTAGTCAGTACTGATTAGACAAAATTAAACATCCTGTTTTATAGGAGAATATGTAAGTTTTCTGGCAATATTTTCTAGCAATATTTGCTTAGATTAACATTGGCATGAAAATACCACTTTGCATTTTTGCAGTGGCCTTCAGATTATTTCAAAAAAAAAACCTAGATGATTTCACATACTGTATCTCATTTATAAACTTGTGCATCCTGGTAATAGGGCCGAGTGGTCCAGAAACTCAAGACAATAGCAGGAGGACATCAGCCAGGAATTCGAAAGGGACTGTGGGTGGTTGGACAGTGATGACTTAGTTCCTTCCCATGCTGGCCTGAGCACTGGAGTTAGGTGTTGAGGCAGAGGAGGGAGCTACAAGACAGGATAGGCGAATGTTGTTGGTGACCCTCCTTTCACTGCATGAGTTAGCTGGAAAGTGGATTCTGCTGATTTTACCTGTGGTGTGCATTTTGCTCCGGGGCAGGGTTTGGTTGGGCTTGTGAGGAGACCAAGGAATCCTTTGATGAGCTCCTGCTGTTGAGAGATAGTTTTTTCATGTTGATTTTTTCCAAGCCCTAAAGGAGGGCTGAGGCTGTTACACAACTCACACTTTGTCCAGCACTGACAGGTATTTACCACCTGAGACATGCTTGAGAGAACATGAGCTGTCCCTGACACGGTGGCATGTGACCCTGGATGATGAAGGAGGGTGGTCCCCAGCATTGAGTGGAGGGGGCTGGTGTGTCCGGGGGTGGGGTACACCTCGGTTTAGCATCCCCTCCCCCGATTTGCAGTGTGGACAGGAGCCCTAGGAAGGTAACAAGGAGGGAAGATAAAATCATTTTATGTATTCTTGGCATGTGTCGGCCTCTCCCACAGGCTTAGCCAAGGCCCCTGTTCTAACCTCGTGATTCAGAGATGGCTCTGAGATGCTCACCCGGCCACGTGGGATTAGCTGGTTGTGTAATTAACCCCCTTCTCTTCTTGAGTGCTAGTTGGCAGTGCGCTGGGCACAGAGATTCCGCACGTTATGCAATAGAGTGACTCCCTGAAACAAGTTGTGTGTCAGCGGAAACGCATCTAAAACGGCCTAAGAGGAGCTTTCGTGGTGAAGAATTTCTATAGTGACCACTTTTGGGATAATTATGAAACCCATCCCCTTCTTTGTCTTCCGTAAAATTGGATTTTTTTGTCTTCTCATTTGTGAACACGACACATTTGGACAGGCAAGACCCGCCTGCCCCGGGAGATGCTCTGGGAGATGTCCGCGGTGGGCCGGTCTGCAAGCCGGCACACTCTGAGCAGGGCTGGTGAGGGGCGTGCAGACAAGCGTGTGTGACTGACGGCTGGTGCCGGGGCCTTCTCTCAAAGCCCCTCGGTGTGAGGGGTGAGGCAGCTGGTTGCCCGTGCGCCGCCCGACTGTGCAGGCGGCTCTGACTTGTCCCTCTCCCAGGAGGCCTCCTCATCCATGACTCGTACCAAAGGCCTGCTTAACGCTTGGATCCCAGATCATCAGGCTATAAAGGCTCGGTAGCATCTCTTTAATCTTTATTCCCTATTCTTTTTTAATTGCACAGGCCATACAGTAAAATAGTTGAGGATATCTTTGAAAAAGCAACTCGCATATTCCTGCTCTCCTGTCCCGTCATGTGTCTCCTTCATTCCCACCTCTCTCCACCTATGCAGACATAATTTGTATTCAATAACACTTAAGGCAGAAGTGCAATTAGGCTTTGACTTTTCACGTATATTATATCTTAAATATTCCTTCCTGTTGTATAGTATCTTCATAGTTACCATTTAATGGCTACACACTCATCCGCCAACTGGATTAACTGTGGTTTACTTAGTCACTCTTACTTTTTTCCTGTTCTTAATGGTATCTTTTCCCCTTTGTTTCTGTAGGAAGTTCTCCAGCAGCTGATTGTAATGAATTTGCCCAATGTTTTGATGATTGGCAGAGACCCGCTGTCTGGTGAGTGAAAACGCCCCCCGCCCCCATGCCGGGGCAGTGCCATGGGCTTTGGGCAGCTGTCGGCCGAGAGCACTGGCTGCCAGCTTGGAGCCAGCACAGTGAAGACACGTGATCGTCCGGTGAGATTTGAAAGAGTGGGTTCATTACCCTGAGGCTTTAAGCCAAGAGCACGTTTCTTCCTTAAGAACGAATCCTCCCTGACCCTCAGATGTGTGCGCAGAGGCAGATCCAGCCACGGCTTGGTTCCTCCTAAAACGGCAGGTCCAGGTTCAGGTGCCTGAGTCGTGTGGTAGGCTCTCACCTCCTCAGTAAACGTGGAATCAGATGACGAGAAAGTAAGATCTCTTTAGGGAATCATGTCTGTCTTCACTGGGATCCCATGAGGCTCCATTCATGTTCGGTGACAGAGCTCCCCAGGGCGTGTTGTCATTTATCTGTGTCCCCGCTGGACCCTGAGCTCCTGGCAGGCGAGGAGCTAGCTCCTCCTGGTCTCTGATGGTCAGCGTGAGTTTGAAAGACCGGATGAAATGTCCCCCTGGCATCTTCCAGAAAGCTGGAGCTTAGTGCATACCCGTCAGGTAACTCCCTGGGCGCGTTAAACACAGTGGGGGTCACTCCCTCTCACGAGTGTGTGCATCTGCCTGCACCCATGGCCCATGGACATCAGCTCACGGGCCCCAGGGACAGACTTACTCCCTGGCCAGGACTTCCCTTGCTCTGATGGAGACCTCGTGATCATTTTGTGGCCCTAGGTCTAGGACCTCCTGGAATAGGTGGGAGGTCAAGGGAGGCAGGGAGACTCACACCTTTAGGATGGGAACAGACTGGGGGTCCCAAACGTCAGTGGCTTATGCAGAAGGGACTCGGGCTTCCCTCTGTTGATGTCTCCTCACCCCAGTCTCACCGCAGTCTGGCCGTCCTTTCTCCAATCCGTGTGACAGTAGCTAAAGTTGCCTTGAGACTGGAGGAAAGAACACCAAGTGACCTGCCGAGGATGTGACTCGCAGCGGAGCAGTTCTGTTTTAGTGCCACGGCCCTGAGAGCGTTGGCAGCAGCTTCCCTGCGCCCTCGGCGGGAGGGGCCTCTTTCTGGGCTCCAGCTGGCTGATGTGTTCGCCTTTTCTCTGCGTGAGCCAAAGGGAAGAGGTTTCCTTGACCTCCCGTTGGTTTCTAGCAGGCTGGCCCATGAGCACTCACCACCTTGCACGGTGGCTCTACAGAGTCCACCCAGGCCCGCCTGGTGACTCTGAGCATTAGTGGCAGGGAGCCTTTGGTTCTGCTCGCCCCCCAGCTCTGCGTTTGGGCCGTGTGTGTTCTGGCTTTATTTCACGGCTCCCCCAGAGAAGGATAGAGGATGCCAGATGCAGCCTATCCTGGCCACAGTCCTGGTCTCCAGGGGCAGCTGGGACTCCTGTGGTTTCTAGTTACTTCAGGCAAGTGGGGTCTGTTTCTCTGTGCGAACTCTGCCGCCTTTCTGATTCATTTGGGGGCTGGTGGTAAAGTGGGGGATGAGAGCAATGCCTGGAGAGGTTGGTGGTTCAAGCTCAGGTCTGCGGCTCCGTCCGCTCTGGAGATGATTGAGCCCACGATAAGCCCACCACGAGCTAGGCATTGCACGCATGTTAAAAAACGGAAATAAAAGTGTGCTGATGTGCAGCTGTGCCATCCCCATTTATAGATGAGAGAACTGAGGCTCAAAGGGTTTAGATGATGCACCCTTGGTCACGCCACTCGGAAGCAGAGGGGCCGGTTGGAAGCCTGATCTCCTGTCTGTATCACACACGGACGTCTAAGTGTTAGGCTGAGCTGCGGGCGGTTGCAACATTCAGCCTTTTTGACCTACACAAATGGCAGTGGGATATGGTCCAACCTCACATTAAGCACATTCTCCATCCACCCCCACCTTTAGCTACTGTGTCACCCACATAACTTGCCCACCTTCCTGCCCCCTCTCTTCCTGTCCCAGTAGATGTCCCCCTTCCACTGCTGTCTGGAAGCCTGCCCTCCCTGTGCCCCTGCTCCATTGGGTGCCTCTTCAGCGGCAGAGAGGTTGTCCACGGGCGGAGACATAGGTCCCCGCCTTGGGGCTGGCACCAAACAGGAACATCTGTTGAGATGTGGACGGTGATTTTTTTTTTTTAAACAGCTTTATTGAGGCATAATTTGCATATTATAAAATTCACCCATTTTGAGTGTGTAATTCAGGGTTTTTTCACATATGTATAGAGTTATGCAACCCTCACCACAATCTAGTTTTAGAGCATTGTGGGGAAGCTGATTTTAAACTGTTGACTGGTAAATTAATGTCCTGGGACCCAGCATAGTACATGGTCAGTACATGTTGATCAAAGAGGTTCCGGTCCCACCTCCAAAGGAGAAGTTGGAGAGACGAGAGGTGAGCTTTGGGAAAGTTGAGGATGAGAATAACACCTGTTGCAGCGAGCTCAGAGGGTCCCCAGGCAGGGCTGATTGACGCGCCAGACAGTGGCCTCCGCAGGCTGCACACGGAGGGCGGGGTGTCAGGTGGGGGAATGTGAGCCGGGTGCACGGATGGGCAGGTTTGACGGAGGTCCCCGGGGCTCTGAGAGCAGAGGAGGTCGGCAGGGGACATCCGCCAGCAGGAAGACGCAGACACAAGTGCCAGAGGCAGAGGGATGTATTTATGAAATAGTGCTTTCAGTTTTAAGTTTTAAAAATAGATATGTGAAGCTTTTTGTATTCCTTTTTAAACAAAGTTGGTTTTTTTTTATTTGCGTGGTTGCCAGGGTGCCCAGAGTGGTATGCTTTTTAACTAACTCTGTCACACGCGAGTATGAGGGGCATACTTGTGCTCTTTTTGGTGGATGCTGACAACATGCTGTTATTTATAACATTTTACAGTTTTGGGTCGTTTTTCTGTTTGGGGCAGATACATCACAGTGGAACCAGGTCCCAGATTTCAGATCCCAACAGAGCATCTGGGCCATCTCCTTCCCCACAATACAGTGGACGCTAAAAGATCCTGAGAGGCCAAGCATTTGTTCCCCATTCTGTGACCTAAAAGAGAGATGTCACAACTCACACCACGACGAGACTTTTCTGTGTGTCTAACTTGCCTCCTGCACTCGTCAGACAGAAGGATGTTCTCTCGTTTCCCACGCTGGGTGGAATTCTGGGACAGCGCAGTGGATGTGAGGCAGCACTTCATATACTTTATTTTTCTATTTTTGTGGACAGCGTGGCCAGAAGGGGTATATATATACTTTAAATTGCTTTTGAAATCTCTCCTCAGTGTCTGCCCCTCCTGGCCAGAACTCCTCATCCTCTTACGCTGTGTCGTGTACCTTGGACGGCCCAGGATTTCCTCTCTGATCGTGGTGTGGTTTTGCTGCTGTCTCTCAGCTGCACCCACGTCCCCGGGCAGGGTCTGTCTGGTGCCTCATCACTGTAGACCCCACTCCTCGGAGCACAGCCTGGGCGCTGGTGGGACCCTGCTCGAGCCCCTCCCCGACTTTGCCGTGACGGCACTGAGCAGAAAAGGCTCCCCCCCATAGCTGGGCAGTGTGCCGAGTGTCATCGGGTCCTTTGTTTTATTCATTGTCGGCCAGACCTTAACCCTTGGCTCTGCCTTCAGCACACCCCAGAAGCTGAACTCTCCTCTCCTTTCCTCCTCCATGCAGCTACCTGGGTCCAGCCACCAGGGCCGCCTCCCCACTTCCGCCCCCTACAGTCTGCTCCCAGCAGGCAGCCCGAGCACCCTCTCTAAAGTCAGCTGATGATGTCACTTTGTGGCCCCCTTCTGGCACTAGGCCTGTGCACTGACCCGTCCCGCCACCTGGGTGGTGCTCTTTCCTGGGGTACCTGCTTGCACAGCTCCTGCAAGCCCAGCTCAGATGCTGCCCTGTCGGGGTGCCCCCCAGCCTCCCTCTCCTGCAGCATGCCCCATCCTCTTTCCCCCACTCTGTTTTCCTGTTTTCCAAAGCTTTTCTCACCTGTAAATGTACTCTATAATTTATTTATTTTTTCCTGTGTGTGGCCTTGCTTACTTTCCCCCCAGGGTGGACTTTCTGTTGAATGCAGGAGTCCTCAGGGTTTTGTTGCTGTTGCCAGTGTGTTCTGAGTGTCTAGATCAGTGCCTGGCGCGTAGCTGGTGCTCGGTAAACAGCAGCCAGGCTGGGGGAGGCCCGCCTTTATCACTTCCTCCTCCTCTGCCCGGTGCTAGCCACGTGATCTTGTGGATAAAAAGGTCAAGTGTCCGTGGTCAAGGTCAAATGAGCTTCAGTCCCTGCCCAGTGCCATGTGTGTGTCTCCCCTGGGCTGGAGATGACCCCCTGAGAACCGCCTTTCGCCCAACCATCTTGCTGGTTGCACATTAGTTAAACACATTTCTGCAGTTTACTGATGAGCATGTTCTACAAGAAGCCTCACGAAAACCAAGAGCTCACATCTGCCCCATCTGTAAAAGGAGGGGGTGTTGGAGAGCTGGGACAGCCCCGGGTCCCTCCAGCTCTGGCTTCTCGGCAGCCCGGCCTGTCACTGTGCCACACACACAAATAAAGACTAGATTTGTCAGACAGGAAGCCAGGGTGTTAGCAAATTAATTTCTGTGATGAATCATAGGACAGTCATGCTGGAAGAGAGCATTGTTTTTTCGACCAAGGTTTGTGTCCAAGTGCACTAGTGGTTTCCAGGTTTATAAATTGCCAATACCCTAAGCCGTTTACATGGAAGGGAATGGGCCGTATATGTGCAGAAACCCAGGCAGAGAGGGGAGGAGCTCATTCAGAGGCACACAGCGTGGAGGTCCCAATGTAAAAGATGGATTTAACACCATAAACTGTACAGACGGTTATGTAGGTGGACAGCCACTGGTCCCAACAGGAGGACTGGCCTCTGTCATTGTTTGGCCCTAATTTCTCACATTATAAATGCCACGCTAGATTCCTGGGAGCCCGTGGAGGGGGCTGTGACCCCATACGCACGCTCTGCAGGGCCTGATGTGGCCCTCCATCCTAAGTTTTC